AATTAAAAAAATGGTTGCAGCAGTATATTGATAGGGAACTTAACAGAAATTCAAACTGGATTCAGAGGAGGATGTGGAATAAGGGATATCACTGCTGATGTCAGATGGATCTTGACTGAAAGCAAAGCATATCAGTAAGATGTTTACCTGTGTTTTATTGACTATGTAGAGGCTTTCCATTGTGTGGATCATAACAAATTATAGACAACATTCATTGCAAAGAATAAGAATTCCAGATAGATAATTGTGCTCAAAAGGAACCTGTACAAAGACCACGAGGATGACATTGGAGCAGAACAAGGGGATACTTCATGGTTTACAATCAGGAAGGGTGTGTCTCAGAGTAGTATACTTTCACCATACTTACTCAATCTGTATGCTGAGCAAATAATTCAAGAAGTTCGACTATATGAAGAAGTATGCAGAATTAAGATGGGTGGAAGACTCATTAACAACCTGCAGTACGCACATGACACAACCTTGCTTGCTGAAAGTGAAGGTGCCTAGAAACACTTAATGGTGAAGATCAAAGACTACAGTCTTCTATATGGATTACAACTCAACATAAAGAAAACAAAAATCCTCACAACCCAACCAGTAAGCAACATGATCATAAATGGAGAAAAGATTGAAGTTGTCAGGGATTTTATTTTACTTGGATCCACAATCAGTACCCATCAACGCAGCAGTTAAGACATCAGATGTCATATTAAACTGGGCAAATCAGCTGCAAAAGATCTCTTTAAAGTGTTAAGCAAAGATGTTGCTTTAACAACTTAAGGTGGCGCCTAACCCAATCCATGGTATTTTCAGTCACCTCATATGTATGTGAAAGCATTCTTCAGTATGGAAGATTGAAGAAGAATCAATGCCTTTGAATTGTGGTGTTGGTGTTGTTATGTGCCATTAAGTCGGACACGACTCTTAATGACTCCTCCTGGGGTTTCCAAGGCAGTATCACTACAGAAGTAGATTGCCCAACCTTCCTTCTGAGGAGTGTCTTGTGGGTTTGAACCACCAGCCTTCTGGTTAGCAGTCAAGTGCCTTAGGCACTATGCCACCAGAGATCCCCAGAAGAGTGAGCAAATCTGTCCTGGAAGAAGTGCAGCTGGAATGCACCTTGGAAGCGAGAATGGCCAAACTTCGTCTCACGTGCTTTGGTCATGTTGACAGAAGGGACCATATCCTTGAGAAGTATATCATGCATGGTAAAATAGAGGGTCAGCAAAAAAGGGGAAGACTTTCAATGAGATGGATTGACTCTGGCTACAAGGAGGGATTCAAGTATAGGAGAACTGTGAGGATGGTCACGACCCAGCAGTGTTTCATTGTGTTTTATGTAGGGTTGCTATGAGTTGGAGTCAACTCAGTGGCACCTAACAACAATGATCTATTTCTCATTTCCAGAGCTTTTCAGGCCTTCTTGTAAATCTAAGTTGCCATATTTAGTCATTTCTCTTTACCCTGAACATTTTTTTAGCCTTTCAATAATGTAGCTCTGGCAATGAATTCTGGTATTGGTTATCTGAAAATGCCTGTATTTTGCCTTCCTCTGTCTATTGAGATTCCCGATCTTTTCTCTCTTTTATTTATACCATGTTTCCATCTAATTCAATACAGATACTCCTTTGCTTCACTAAACACATTTGTGATAGCTGCTTTGAAATGCTTTTCTCCTAAATCTGACTTGTGTGCCCACTTGACTTTTTTTTGCTGAATATAGATCACATTTCTTTATAAGTGAGTTTTGTTAGAAACTAGATTTGGTAGATAATACATCTGGATTGTTTTGTTTTTCTGTGCAGTGTGATTTTTTTTTAAATTTTTTGTCCTAAAAGAAAAAGTAGGAGCTCTGGTAGCGTAGTGCCTAAAGCACTTGACTGCTGACCAGAAGGCTGGCGGTTCAAACCCATCAGCCACTCCTTGGAAGAAAGATCTGGCAATCTACTTCCGTAGTGATACTGCCTCGGAAACCCAAGAAGTGGTCGCTATAAGTCGAGTCCAGCTCAACGGCACATAACAACAACAACAACAAAAGAAAAAGTAGACAGTTAACTCTATTGTGTATAGTTGCAAGCTTTCCAGAAGAATTGATATGGGATGGTTTGCAGTCTCTTAAAATTTTTATTTTATATCGTGTTTTCATAATTTTTAATTACAGGAATATTATAGTTACCTCATTCTTCTCCCATTATGTTTATAATTTGTTTTTTAAGTTTTAATTTCTTGTACTTGGCTTTTTTCTAGTTTCTTATGTTAATTATTATAGTTTCCAATTCCTTGTTAATATTTTCAAAGTACTCTTATTTCTTTAAAGGTAATAAGCATAATTGTTTTTATTATATGTATCTGATTTATAGTATCAGATAACCTTTGGGTATCTTCCTGCTGTCTGTCTCTCTCTTTTTTTTTTTTCCTCCACTCCTGGTACCTTAGATCCTTGTGTCCATGATTGTTACTAACTGATGTTCACTGCTCTTCAAACAATTATTCCTGTGGATTCCCTTCCTCCAGAGAAGAGTTGTGCTTGTTTTTTCCAGATATCTCAGTGTACTGTCAATCTGAAAGCACTTTATATTAAATGTTGTGCTTTAGTTTCCTTGACTAGCCTAAGGATGCACATTTCTACAGCAAATCCAGGTGAGGGCTAAATCATTGTTTTAGTCTCACATGGTTGTAGGCTGCCATTTTAACGTAAGTGGCTGTCCTTCATACTATTAAGCTTTTTCCAATTAATCATGAGAAGTCTTTGTAAGTATAAATTTTTGCTGAGGGAATTTGTTAGGTTTATGATCCTGTATACAACCAAACCAAAACCAAAGTCACTGCCATCAAGTCAATTCTAACTCATAGTGACCCTCTAGAACAGAATAGAATTGCCCCATAGAGTTTCCAAGGCTATAAATCTTTACGGAAGCAGACTGCCTCATTTATCTCACGTAGCGGGTTTGAACCACTAACGTTTAGGTGAGTAGCTGAATGCTTTAATCACTACAACATCATAGTTCCTTCTTGTATACAAACACACTAAATAATGGGTGTTAACACATACATATTTAATAAATGAAACAAACATACTGAATGTAAGTATACAAATGAACTGATTTTGTTCTTTTGATTGTTAAAACAAACTTACACAAAATTGCTAATGCCTAGAGTCATCCTGAAAATCTTTCTAATTCAGGTAAACGTTCTGTGGATATTCTAGAATAGATAGAATACAGCACAGTAAGGAAGGAGTCAGATTATCTACATAAGAGGAACAGCACGTTACTGGGAAGTAGGTGGATATGTTTTACACAGTCATTCCAAACGGGGTGTGGATTCACTAACCTGCACAGTTCTTGTTGAAAGTAATAGGAAATATAGAAGATAGAAAAATTTGGACATCTCAGAAAAAATTTTGAGTGAAACAGTGGAATGCCTAATAAAGAACTTAATCATTGGAGAGGTAAAATGTGATCTGTAGTTTCCTATTATATAAGTTACCTCTACATATGTCTTGTAAAATAAAGAAAGGGAAACAAAGTTACCTTTTGAAAGGTGTACTCTGCCTCTTTCTGAGTAATTGTGTGTTCTTCAGAGAATAATAACAATTGCTAGCATGTACATGAAAATTTTTGGCCCTTGGTATTTACTGCTCCCAGATCCCTTCCTATCTGTGCTGTGCCTAAAGACATGATCTCTCAAAATTAAATATACTACCCAGTCTCTCCTGTTTATGCTAATAGTTTGGTTCATTTTTGGAAGATGGTACAGTATTAGCAGTCATCTGTCCTGTTTTTTTTTTTTTTATTCTGCAACTTCATCGGTTTATTAGCTCTAATAGGTTTTTTTTCTTTTTTAATTGTGATTTGGGTGAAAATTTACAGAGCTTCCCATACAGCAGATCACATACACTTTGTCTCATAACATTGACCACAGTTTAGCACAACACAACATCTCCTCTCCCACTTCCTCCCGATAGTTACCTCTTCCCTGTGTCTATCCCTCCATGCACTCCTACCCCCTGAGCTGTCTCCTTGTGTCTGAGCAGCCCTTCTTTCTCTCTTGCTTGTTCTCCAAGGAGTGTATCTACCTCAGGTAAATGCTCAACTGATATGCCTGTCTGTTGCTTGGCTGGAAGCCACAGGTGTGTGTCAATTCCAGACCTGAAGGGCAGCTAGGGGCCATAGTCTCTGATTCCACCAGGCTCCACTTATTGGCCCTGTTTTTAGTAAATGTGCCACTGATGATTTTGACAGATTATTGTTTGATCTTGTTTTCCATACCACTGTTCATTTAAAAATCTTTTCTAATGTTTCCATTGGTATTTTAGTACCCTTTGAAAATACTGGTATTTTAAAAGGATGCTAACCAGATACCCTCTTAAATCAGAAAAATCCCCGAGGTTTTTAAAGAAACAGTATCTTTATGGCACATCTCCCAAAGTCTCCTACTCATTTGTTCTTCTGACAAGCATTTCTTGAAGGTCTTTTACTTGCCACGTGCTTTAGAGATTTCCGTTTTCTGGTGTAAAATGTCAACTGTGTAAGACAGCCATTGTAGAATTTGACCACATTGGTACATGTAATCTTAGGAATTTTTATCAGTAGGAAATATAGCTAAATTATATGTATGAATTATAAAAACCACAACTAGGAAATGAGAAAACATTGATCTTTAAAGCTTCACGACCAGGTGAGCATGATTACTTGCTTGTAAGTTTTTCTTTTAATACCTGTTAGGTGTTTAAAGTCTTAAAATTGAGGAAATTTTCTCTGCTGGACCTGAATTTAGGAAAAGTTTCTTTAAATTTAGTAGTGGAACACCTGTACCAGTTTTGAGTGGCAACATATTTTGATAAACTGCTCTAAAGTGACATTTTATACTTTCTGATATTAGAGAATTCAGTAGCTAATGAAAACCAGCTAATTTAAAGGAATTCGAGCTTTTGAAATACTAGTTTTTAATGTATAATTAAAAAATGATTTTGACAAAATGTTTTTTTCTTATTTTAGTATAAGCCACCTGCACTTAAAAAATCAAATTCTCCTGGAACCATGTCCTCAGGCTCTTCACGATTACCGCAGCCCAGTAGCACTAACAAAACTGTTGTAGGTAATGAGATTCATAAGTAACTTGATCTTTTTAAATGTTGGTTGATAAAGAAGGAAATGAAGATAGTGGTCTGTTTTGGACTATCACAGTTAAAATTGTGAAAGAGATGTGGAGGTTGAATAATTATTTCTGGGTAAAAATAAAGTAACTTTCAATAGCTCCTACTTTAGCTATTTTTGTTTTTCAGCAGAAATGTCTATTCTTGATTATGCTGTTGATGTATCTTTTGTTTACAACAGTCAACCACGTTCTTTTTCTTGATTCTTTAACCACAGTGTTTTTTTGTTCGTTTACTCCTTACACCTTTTTGAACTTTCCCATTGCCTTTAATAGTTAATTGCTTACTGATTTGGAGAATATATTGACCGAAGTATATCTGTATTTATATATAAGTTGTAAGAAAGAAATTTAGAAATGATAAATAATGTTATATATTGTTTGCTAGGGATTTCTTTTTTTTTTTTTTTTTTTAAATTTTCTTTGGTATAACTTGTTTTGATTTATCACTGCAATGAGTGTTACTAAAATATTAATTTCCTTGTCGCATGCTTTGTTTGATATGATTTTTCTTTTTCAGAGTGTTGTTAAGACTAATACCTTTTTTGTTGTAAGGTGTGCCTTCAGGTAAAGTGACTTCAGTTAGCAGCTCTTTGGGAAACAAACTTCAGACCTTATCTCCCTCCCATAAAGGGATAGCAGCCCCTCATGTAGGGTAAGTCTGCATCTGAATTTAATTAATTAGTGATATATATTTAAATGATATTTTGGTTTCATTTTACTTAGATAATTGTCCTTTTCATTAAGTTTAATTCCTAATTTCATTTCTCTTTTAACTTAACTGCCGGTCAGGGACATACTCACTGCTGCTGTGAATCTAAATTGGTATCACCATCTTGGAAAATAATCTGGTAGCATTTACCAAGAGCTTAAAAACATTCATACTTTGAATTGAATCATTTTACTTTTGGTATTTCTACTGAAATCGTTTGAAGTATGGAAAACTTTTTATAACTATAATTTATTAAGCAATATGTATCAGGCACTGTGCTAGACATTTAAAAAATATTTTTATTAAAGCTACCCTCCTTCCATAGAATGAGGATATCAGAGAAGCAAAGTAATTTGTTCAAGGCTGCACAGCTGGCAAGAGTTTGAATCAGTATACAAACTGAGATCTGTTTAACTCTAAATAATTCAGATGTTATCAGTGTTATAGAAACTACAAAGAGATATTATACAACCATAGAACATATATATATATTTTAACGTAAGATACAAAACTGCATGTATAGTATAATGGAAGCTTTATAAAAATATGTCTAGGGAAGAAAGACAAATAAAACAAACCAAAATTTTAACAATGGAATTTGGAGTGATTCTTTCCATTTTGTTTAATTATATTTTATATTTATTATCTCTCTAAAGTGTTACATACATGGTTTTTGATAAAATGGTAAAATTAAACTTTCAGTATTTTAACGTGGGAAAAATTGTTGGTAACACTAGACATTTTGAAAGAAGGCCACTTAATGCCAGTAACTTACCTCTCTTTCATTTTGCTAATTCAGAAAATATCCATATGACCATGAGAATGAAAACTTATGCCTGTGTCTTTACAGATTGATTAAAGTTGATTAAAGAAATACAGCAAACATTTTTCTCAAGTGCAGGATATGAGTGGCTCATATTCCACTTGGGTTCTTTCACAGGAACTAGAAGCAAGTGTATCTACTAAGTTTTTAACTGCACAGAAAGTACAGGAGCTAAAAGGAGTTTGTTGTTAATTATGTTTGTAGAAAAAGAAAAATCACTTAACAAGATTTAGTGAGTTAAATGTTTTTGTTTTTTGTTTTTCTTATTACTGTGTTTCCAAAAACAAACAAATAGGTTATCAGTAAGAAAGAAATGGGTTATCAGTAGAATAGGTGGTTAAAATTGAATAGTTGTCATCTTCCATTGGTGAAAAAAACTGATTTGATGAATTTTTCTTCAAGATTAAGTTTCTCATTCACTATTTAACTATAAACATAGCAGTATGTGTTTTAATTTTACAAAATGATTTTACTATATCACAGAGAATTGCCTTGTGTTTTAAGTTATAGTGTTTATTTGTATTTTGTTTATAGTTTTTATTTGTGGAAGATTATGAATTAAAAAGGCCACTTTTAGTTATCTTTCTTCTTATACTGCTGATTTTCTTACTTGACAATATTAAGATGTAGTGACTCACTGTACTGCCAGGGCACGCAAAACTGTGATGATGAAAAGGAACATTGGACTTGGAGTTAGAAACCTGGATTTCTAGACCTGGCTGTGCCAGTAAATAGTTACATGACTTTGGGCACATCTCTTTTCTGTCTCACTTTGACAGTGTTCTGTGACTTTTCTTAGATCTTGAAAACTCTTGAAGAAGATCTGACCAACATTTATATTCCTAAGGGAAAATAATGTTTTAACTAGCAAAGATTTGAGCATAGTAATTTTGTTATGCTTTGCCTGTAATATCATGAAGACTTAATCCTAGGCTTCTAATATCATATTAACTTGAAAAGTGTCATCATATCTATTAAAATTCTGGTTGTCCATTTTATATGTGATCCTTATGTGTTAAGTGAATGTTTCCAACTGCCAGAAAGAGGGGGGGTAGTGTTTGCTTCTGGCCAATATATTACTCTACTAAAATGGAGCATTACTCTTATTAAGTTGGAGCCATTGATGACTGTATATTTAGTGTCTTTGTTCATAGTTTTTTAGAATTATTGATGTAAGGATTTGTTTGATGTCTCTTTCCCTTGCTAGATTGTAAGCTTCATGACAGCAGAGATTATGTCTACCTTGTTTACAGATATAACTACAAAATCTGTCATAGTGCTGGCACCTTGACAGCTGCTTCAGGATTGCATAAGGTGGAATTAAAACATTTGGTTAGCTGTAACATTAAAGAATTAGAGCTTCTACTAAAATTAGTTAAAACAGTCATTTCAGTGGTATGGAATTATTTAAAGCCTGATGTATAAATTTTGTTTTTTAAGGTCACCTTTAATCAGGCTTGGCAGTGATCTGTAATATTTAGCACATATTGGAGTCATGCCTCTAAGAGATCTATCGTTGAACTTGGAAAAAGTTCCCCATGCTTGATAATTAGCTTCTAGACAACACATTGATGAACTTTAATATATATATATTTTAAGGCAATGGAAAATTTTCCCTTTATGTTAAAAGATAATTATGTTTAATTCTAGGAGATTTTAAGTCTGTGATGAAATGCAGAGCTTTTAAATGAATTTTGCACATTTGAATTGTGTCAGAGAGTTTATACAGTTATGCTGTAAGAATTGTGTTTTTGTAAAGATTAATTTCTAGTTTAAAAGAATATTTCAGCAGATATTTTTCAGTTGCTAAAATATAAAATTTCAAATATTCATTGCTGTTCAGCTATTATGAAAAGCAGACATTTACATTGGGGATATACTCTAAGAGAAGTGGTAAAATTATAGCAGCACAATACATGTAAGGAGCATTTTTGAATTAAGATTGAATCTTGTTTCTCATACTTTTATTATCGTAAAAGCCAAACTTACAGTGATGGTCTAGGACAGAGTAGAATGTCCCCATAAGGTTTCTAAAGCTATAAATCTTTACAGAAGCAGACTGCCACATTTTTCTCCCAGGGAGCACCTAGTGGATTTGAACTGCTCACTTTTCAGTTAGCAGCCAAGCACTTAATGACTGCACCACCAGCACTCCTTATATTAAAAAAAGAACAAAAAAGGAAATGCATGTCTAATTTTTAAATATATCACTTATAATGTGAGTAGAAGGAAACATGCTTTTCTTATAAGCCAGTCTTTTGACTTGTGTGAATTCGGTATACATAAAATATGTATGTAATTCACCGAACATGCAATCAGGATGTGTTAATTATCACTGGTGACTGGAATGCAAAAGTTGGAAACAAAAAAGAATCACCGGTAGTTGGAAAATTAACCTTGGTGACAGAAATAATGCTGGAACTCGCATGGTAGAATTTTGCAGGACCAACGACTTGTTCATTGCAAACACCCTTTTTCAACAACACAAACGGCGGCTGTACACGTGGACTTCACCAGATGGAATACACAGGAATCAGATTGACTACATCTGTGGCAAGAGGTGGTGGAAAAGCTCATATCTTCAGCCAAAACCAGGCCAGGAGCTGATTGTGGAACAGACCATCAACTGCTCATACGCAAGTTCAACTTGAAGTTAAAAACAATTAAAACAAGTTCAAGAGAGCCAAAATACGATCTTGAATATATCCCTCCTGAATTTAGAGATCACCTAAAGAATAGATTTGATGCATTGAACACCAATGACCGAAACCAGAAGAATTGTGGGAGGATATCAAGAACATTATCTATGAAGAAAGCAAAAGATCACTAAAAAGATGAGAAAAGAAGAGAAGACCAAAATATGACAGAAGAGACTTTGAAACTTGCCCTTGAGCAGAGAGTAGCTAAAGCAAATGGAAGAAATGACAAGATAAAAGAGCTGAAAAGAAGATTTCAAAGAGCAGCTTGAGAAGACAAAGCCAATTACTATAATGAAATGTGCAAAGACCTAGAGTTAGGAAACCAAAAGGGAAGAACATGCTCAGCATTTCTCAAGCTGAAAAAGTTGAAGAAAAAATTTAAGGCTCGAGTTCCAATATTGAGAGATTCTATGGGCAAAATATTGAATGATGCAGGAAATATCAAGAGAAGATAGCAGGAATACACAGAGTCACTGTACCAAAAAGAACTGGTCAACTTCATCCATTTCAGGAAGTGGCATATGATCTAGAACCAGTGGTACTGAAGGAAGAAGTCGAAGCTGCAATGAAGGAATTGGCAAAGAACAAGGCTCTGGGAATTGACGGAATACCCATTGAGATATTTCAACAAACGGATTCCCCATTGGAGGCACTCACTCGGTTATGCCAAGAGATTTGGAAGACAGCTCCTGGCCAACTGACTGGAAGAGATCCATATTTGTACCCATTCCAAAGAAAGGTGATCCCACAGATTGTGGAAATTATAGAACAGTATCATTAATATTGCATGCAAGTAAGATCTTACGGAAGATAACTCAAAAACGGTTGCAGCAGTATATTGACAGAGAATTTCCAGAGGTGCAAGCTGGATTCAGAAGAGGACGTGGAGCAAGGGATATCATAGTTGCTGTCAGATGGATCTTAGCTCAAGGCAAAGAATACCAGAAAGATGTTTACTTGTGTTTTATTGACTATGCAAAGGCATTTGATTGTGTGGATCATGACAAATTATGGATAACATTGAGAAGAATGGGAATTCCCGAACACTTGACTGTACTCATGAGGAACCTGTACCTTGACCAGGAGGAGGCTGTCGTTCGAATGGAACAAGGGGACACTACATGGTTTAAAATCAAGAAGGGTGTACGTCAGGGTTATATCCTTTCCCCATACTCATTCAATCTATATGCTGAGCAAATAATCCGAGAAGCTGGACTATATGAAGAAAAACGTGGCATCAGGATTGGAGGAAGAATCATTAACAACCTGAGATATGCAGACAGTACAACTTTGCTTGCTGAAAGTGAGGATGACTTGAGGCACTTACTGATGAAGATTGAAGAACACAGTCTGCAGTATGGATTACATCTTGATATAAAGAAAACAAATCCTCACAACTGGGCCAATAAGCAGCATCACAG